TGAATTGCATCAATAATTTGCACGTGACTATCAATCGATATGGTGTACTCCTTGAAATACTGCTCCTTTTGTGACAGTGATCATTTTTTTGGTTTAAGTGGCTGCGGGATTTGTGGAATTCACGCTCACAACTCTCTCGTTTGAACAGTCGTCCTCAGGTCGTCCGTGCCTAAGGTGTACCGTGTTTACACTACTAACAAAAGCACAGTAGTGCGATCAAAAAGTCTTTCATAGACGTGGCCCCCCATCCAGACTGCACGGTGAAATGCAAGACACGAACTGCTACGCAAAGTGCGGTAACTACAGTCCCCATGAAATTACCGCGCACTACGCGGAACCCAATCTACTTGGGGCAAGCAATTCGACTTTACAAAGATACTGATAATGTCTCTTCGTACGATAATGAAACATTCGCAAGTAAATTGCCAAGATGCGCAAACGATTCAGCAACTATCACGGCCCCAATAAAAGGTATCATCTCCCGAAAATCCAGCAAAAATAGGGTTTTAAAGCAGGTGTGTACGGGAAAAATTAGAAAACACGCGCTGTTTTCGAGTAGTAGGTTGAAACTGCTACTATCCAAAGAAAAGCACACAGGCCATTCAACGCGCATATAAGTTGGTGACAGGTTCGTGCGGTGGTCAGGAGTTTAGTACTCTTTTAAATGAACGATTGTGACAACTGTGTCAAGCTGGAGTACACGGTTCTTCGGGAACACCAAAATAATCAATCGTTCCGACCCAGTCATGGCCACGCTCTTCACTGACATGTCAGAGAAGCTGCCGTGAGACTGCCGGGAGTGGTGAACATGCGTCATGATTGTCTCTTGCTATAATATGGTCTCTGAATAGAATAGTTCGTGTGGTATGGTGTTGACTCTTGACAGTAGTTCGAACCCATCTGGCAGGGGATGAAACATCGCAAAGTCTCCGCATAAGGCTTCAGCTCAAGCTTCTACTGATTCGCCAATCTGTTGTATCTGACTGCTGACCCGCTCCAGTGTCCAGTGTCGTAAAGAATACTCACAGAAGGGCACACAACAGAACAAGCGAGTGCGAGAGCAAAAATACGACGGCCTCAAGCTATTTTATTGGAGGGACACTGTCTGACCTTGGTCCAACGCGGTCTCGCGCTATCTGGCTTCGATACAAGACTATGACGCACTTCATATTGAGGGGGCGTTTGTGTGTCTGGTGGATTTGAGGGTCTCAGTAGATTTCGGGCATTCGGTGGTTACTTTCAGGAATCTGACCATTTTACAGTATGTCACAAAAACCGTAGTCTAAGGCTGCAAATGGCCCAACAAGGTCGAAGCGAAATTGAAGTGAAGAGATCAGTAAAGATGAATCAATCAAGACAAACGATCCACAGTGGATGAATCCCAATGCCGATGGAATATTTAACCCAGCGAATCAACAACTTAGTCGTCCGTGTGCACTTTGTGGCGAAAAGTGTACTTGAAAATCCTAATGTTGGACATTCTCGTAAAAAAAGAACCCCCACCGCAAGGAATATCCCACAAGCACTAAAACATATGGAAAGCTTCTTGATAATTACCCCTGTTGTACCCTGGCTGGAGAATACTACATCGCTCGCAGAAATGTACAGGTAAAACGAATGTGGCACTGAAACTGAAGTACGCTAGTGCTTCGGACCAGACAACTGACAACCGGAATAAAGTAGTCATATCGACAAATATGAATGGACTTCCGTCGATAGTTCCAGTATCTGTTTGAGAGATTACGTTTGCTTCTGCGGTGGGAAGGGGTTGGGGAGGGACATCGGTGGACGCTGAAATGCGCGGGCAAATAATACTTCCCGGTTGCCCAGGCTGAGGAATGGGGTTTGGTTGAGGAACCCCACCTTGAGCCTTCGACTCAAAAGTCTGACCCTCAAGGCAGTGGGAGGATGTAGGGTTTTGTTCGGAGACCCTGACCCTAGCCTCTGATTCAGAAGTCTAACCCACGAGGCAGTGGGAGAATGTAGGGTGATGATGATGATGAGATTACGACCCTCAGCGGTCGGTTGGAAAGGAAAAATAACACAAAAAGCTAATTTCAAACTAGATGTGTGAAACAGATCAACAGCTGCTACGGTGTGAGGCAACAATTTTGCCTGAAGTCACGAACCCCGAGATGGGGTGTGAGCAAACAATTCTGGTAACCTCATGTGCTCAGCATAAATCAGGTCGAGTAATAGATCTTACACAACGGCAAACGTGGTCGTAGTACACAAGCAAGCAACTACGCGGCAATCCAATTGGGGGTTTTCAGTCACGGACGGATAGACAGACGGCGATGGACAAGCTATGACTGTGGAGTTAAACATATCAGCAGGCCCTGTTCACCTGGAGTAGCCGAAAAGTCCGAATGGTTTCTGCAGCTAACCAAATCGTTCAGGTGTAGCGCCCTTTCGGTGTCTAACTGTCATGCCACATGAAGGAAGCACTAGGGCTTGGATACTGCCAGGTCGTCCAAGCCTAGACAGAGGAAGTCGAGATGCAGAGGTTGGGTTCGAACCACGGGACTTTCGGTCAGTAAATTCGCGTTCTAACCACTGAGCCATCTCGCCCCCGAACACTTAATGCGGTACAGCTGAGGATACGCTTCAACTGTGACTAGCGGCTCAGTGATTTTCTAGGATTGACCGCCGGTTTCCGATAAATGTTACGAGTCCAACAACTGGGCGTTAGTCTAGAATCACAAATCTACCCGTATTCCCGAGAACTAAAGAGGCTAAACGAGTGATAAGCGCTTTCTGCAACCAGCTGACTGACACCGACCAGCAAGCCACCTGGCCGAGCATCACAAACCAAAGAATATCAACAATGAACTCCAGTTTGTATGGGAAGTGGTAGCTCTTCCCATTTTTATTCGGATACCCGACCCTTATTCGCGTGATGCCACCGACTCGACTGAGCGATCCCACTCAGTGTAGTACCCATGATGCACGTCAACAGTGAAGTAACTCTAGAGTAGTTCAACCAAAATCTATGGTCCATTGCTATAATCACTCCGCAACTGAAGAAAGATCGCCGGGCACTTTGATCTTCTTCGGACTGAAGGGTTTGCAGAAAGTCACTTGATCAGCCCAATGTGAAGCTGCATTGTCCCTCATTTGCTTGAGAGTCCAATGCCAACAAAGAAGGAATGCGTGGAATGTATAGTGCATATCCAACCAACTGGATCTTTTCTGTGACTGATTAGCAGACCAAGGAATGCACTCATTCGTGTGGACTGCAAACGAATCCGGGATAAGCAATTGTTCGCGTGCAAATGGGCTGTTCTCACTTCAAACACGACACCATCCCCATTGAGTAGGCGGGCGTAAGAATGAGATACCGTATAAAAGAACATATACTCCAATCCCTAGTCATCGAGGATGTCATCCCAGGATGAAATCACGGAAGTATTCGGAATTGCGGTCTGAATGACTATCGGCGGCATACCTACGGGTGTTTGCCAAACCGTGGTATTAGAATACACAAAGGGAGAGGCTTTTAGTCGAGTGACAGATGAGGTGAATGCACGTATCTGCAAGGCTCGGGCCGCGTTTGTTAACTTGAGACACCTATGGCGTCAGGATGGTTTATCCCTGAATCTGAAGGGACGTGTGTATCAAGCTACAGTACGGGCTGTTTTGTTGTATGGCTGTGAGACTTGGCCTATTCGAGCAGCGGACCTGAGACGTCTTCATGTGTTCGACAATCGTTGTCTGAGAACCATAGCTCGTGTGGGTTGGTGTCAGCGAATCCGTAACGAGGCGGTTAGAAAGCGTGTTTTCGGTTGTGTAACGGGTACTTCCATCGAAGAATGTGTCCAGCACCAGAAGTTGCGTTGGTTGGGACATGTTTTACGCATGCCGAACCATCGTTTGCCGAAGAGAGTACTGTTTTCCATGCCCAATTCGGAGTGGCGTAAACAGAGAGGTGGCCAACCCATGACCTGGCAGAGGAGTATGAAGGAGATCACGAAACGCTTGGGTGCTGTCGGTGCTACTCGCCTTCCAGGATGGGGACCGCGTGATCCTCACTGTACCTGGTTGGAGACACTATAGGATATGGCTGCCAACCGATGCCAGTGGCGTTCTTGTCAGTTTCTATCCAGATTGCCCGAGTGAATGTCTGGAGGTGTAGGCACCTCGGAATGATTGTATCAAGCTAGCACTAAGTCCTTTCCCCGTCCACCTTTACTCTTAGCTTTACAATAAGGCTTTCGAATAAATCATGGTTGTACGGCAGTGAAGCATCCGTGTTGATGTCATGCTGTCGATGATGATGACGTTTCCATTGAAAGACTGCGCATTACCCATAAAATCTCTTGTTCCCAAGATTCGCCAATATGAACAGCCGATTCGATTCTAATCTGGAAACAGAAGCGTCTTGCAGCATCCACACGACCAGTTGTAAAAAGTCGTTGAAGAGTCGTTTGACACAAACAACATTCTGTACCCGCCACTTCTGTCCTAAACTGTTCGTCATCAAGGATTCGGACTAACTACATCAATCGGAGTGTTCTGCCTTCTGCGTAACAGCCCCAACAGCCAGCAGAAAACGTGTGTGGGGGGTTCAATATGCCAGGTTAGGAAACATTCAAAGCACACGCATTAGACTCCCACGAAATGTTCCTCTGTCAATTGAAAAGTGCGAGTATAATCGGTTTATTGGCTCCCCACCAGAAAGTAATCGGACGAACAGTTGGGTCCCCGGACTGTTGAAATACAGTAGTATACTACCCAACTTGGAAGTACTCAAATCATTCTTGGGTTCTGTAACTGGTTATTTTACTCTCAAGGGGCGAGAGGCTCAGTGGTTGGAGCTCGAATTTACTGACCGAAAGTCCCGTGGTTCGAACCTGACCTCTACCCTTCGACTTCCCCTGTTTAGGCTTGATCAACCTGGTAGTATTTCATCCCTCGTGCTTCCTTCGGGTGGCATGGCACCTAGGCACCGAAAAAGTGTTACAACTGAATGATTGTTTAAAAATTTACTCCCAACCGCAAAGAAAATGAAATACAAACTGAAAAAAACGTGTACAGGGTAAAGCGTGATTGGAAGCTGTACAAGTGGATATGCAGGAGGGGGAGGGAGTGGTGAAATCATTCCATTGCTCGACTGCTGTCTGAAGGGAAACCGAATAATCGAATGACTCCCTGCTCCCGTTCGTATTTGGCCTCACTGGAGTAAGTCAACAAATACTGTTTGGGATGCCAACAGAGAACAAAGGTGGCCGATGAATGAATCCCCACCTGACATACTTGTTCACCTGGAAAAAAACAACGTGAATTAAAGTGAGTAAAATACTAGGTTGGGCTAAGTTACTGACTAGACAGAGGTAGCGACTGACCTCTCTACGAATCCCCTAATTGCTCTCAAACGAACCTCAGGAATGTGGAGGATATCTTTCGTGACAAATGTCTTTCGGCTTCGACGGAGAGTTTGTTCTGTAAGTGTAAAAACCGAGGATCTTAATCATTGCACAGTTTGCTAATCACCAGGGTGCTCGGAAAGCAAAACCTCCGGGGACTGTTAGTTGGATAGTGAGCCGTTCGGTCACGAGCGGATGATCAGCAGTGTGATGCCTCGCGCCACTGACGCTTCAGTCACAGAATTCATATCACGTGGTCGCGCACCTCGACCAACGTCCTATCAGACGGAACTTTCACCCATCGGGTGAATTTTATTCTCCCTCTGAGCTACTTATAGATTGTTAGTAATGTGAGAAACTTAAGAAATGTTTCAACGGAGGTTTCTTTTGTTGGTCCCGTCAGTGAATCGTCTAGCCAGGGGGGCGGTCAATACACGCTTGCGCATGGTCGTATGTTAATTTATTTGTGGCACGGTAGCGAGCACCGCCTTGATGTAGGTAGAAAAGGCCCCGTTGCTCTATTATCATTGTTCACCCACCACTAAGAACGACCATCTTGTTTTGTTTTGGACAGACTAACAAACAGGGATCTGTGACAATATGACGGGATAACGAGCCATCGGCCAGCCTCGCAATCAATCGATTAACCACTGTATTATATATAGGATTTATTCTAGCTGAAAATGAGTACTGCCATGATCGGTCAGAGATGCTCTCTGCTTGAAACCGCTCTCTCTCGCCAGACAATTTGAGCACCATACCTTGCGCAATTCACCTGAAACTACAGGCACTCAATCAGACAAAATGTAGAAAAACTGACAAGAATGTCATTGAGTGCGCGCCAGTTCTTGCAGCACCTTTACCGATCCACAGGGATCATGTGGATCCCAGAAGGCGAGTGGTTGAGCGCCTCTCTAAAGAAAGCGTTCAGCTGTAGCACCCTTCCGGTGCCTAGCTGCCATGCCACCCAAAGGAAGCACGAGGGCTGGGATACTGCCAGGTTGCCCAAGCCTAGACAGGGGAAGTCGAGTGGCGGAGGTCGGATTCGAACCACGGACCTTCCGCTCAGTAAATTCGCGCTCTAACCACTTGGGCCATCGCGCCCCCCTGGGCCATTTGCGCCTCTCTGATCACGCCACTATGAATTGGGCACGGCCTAATCAGCTTTCGACCCTGGACAAACTTCAATTGAATTCTCTGTTGCACAATCCAACAGTTGTTCTCTAATTGTCTCGTCGCAGATTCGTCAGCACCATCCTACACAAGCTAAGTTTCTCAGGAAACGAGTAAAGAAGACCTATAGATGTCTTCATTGCGATGCACGCAGAAGCCACAACCGTACGCTAAAACAATTAACACTGTGGCCTGATGTACTCATCTCTTGCTGCTTTGCCGTCACAGATGTCTCACAGTAAGGAATGCGATCCGAGCCCTGGAGAGTTGTTTATTGATCCAACCTATCACATTATAGTCAGAGCTTGCACAACTCAATGACCGCATATCCAAGAGCACGACCTTACACCTTGCGGCTGCAGATGGCCAACTTTGATCAGTGCATCCAGAAGCGCCTGTGCCTTCCCCTCGTCAAAAACGAAAATCCTATTGTCTGCACATTTCAAATAGACAAGGTTTTCATCAGCAGATGCGGGAACGCTAGCGTCTCCGCTCCAGCATATCGCTTTGATCAGTGCATCCAGAAGCGCCTGTGTCTTCCCCTCGTCAAAAACGAAAATCATATTGTCTGCATATTTCAAATAGACAAGGTTTTCATCATCAGATGCGCGAACGCTAGCGCCTCCGTTCCAGCATATCATTTAAATATAATCGGATGGAGAGTGTGAGCATCCTTGTCGGACACCACTTTCGTACGGAAGGTTTTCTGAGAGCTCCCCGTACACTCCCACAAACTTGCAAGTCTGAGAATGCAAAGAATTTCTTATGTTGACGAATTTTTCGGGTATCCCTCGTCGAGCAAGCGCAGTATAGTTTCAATGGCCCTGCTCCGCGGAACTATCATGTGATCTCCGTAAAAAAAAGGGGTGAATGAAGGAAAACCTAAAAACGTGTTCAGTTCACGCCTTGTAACAGAAGACTGTCGTTGTTTTCTATTCCCATGGAATGGTTGCATCATCATCATCATCATCGAAAGTATGACATCAGCGTTCAACACCGATTCTTCACTGGGATGGTTGAGTCCCTCAATAAGATCTACATAGCTTGCCGCTTCGTAGAACAGACAAACTGCTTATCGGACCACCGTTGCTCGAGAAGCCAGTCAACACGTGTGACCAAGTGATGTGGACCCCACATCATTGAAGGACGAGCGACACTATATCCTGTCCAAGTGCGAGTTAATCACAAGCCTGACTGACCGTTCAACTACTAACCGGATTCGAGACTCTCAGGAATTTCGTCAGGTGCATGCGCTGCTGGTTTTCAATACGGACGAAACAGTTGTACAAAGCTTCTCGGCCATTAAAAAGACAGTAGCTTCAATTACAGGACGAAACTTCAACTATAATGTGGAGAAAACCTCTGGCCAACTTAGGTTTCAAACGAAAATAGATACGGACTATGTAAACAATATATCTGTTTGTTTAAGGCTATACCTGTTGGCGGGGCGAGATGGTCCAAGTGGTTAGAGCGCGAATTTACTGACCGGAAGGTCCGTGGTTCGAACCCGACCTCTGTCTCTCGACTTCCCCTGTCTAGGCTTGGGCAACCTGGCAGTATCTCAGCCCTCGTGGTTCCTTCAGGTGGCATGGCAGTTAGGCACCGAAAGGAGACCACAGCTGAACGAAACATGTTGGCGCTCCACAACCTCCGGAAAAGCGGTGCTTTTGGAACAACCGCAGTTTGGGACAAACGGGCACTGTCCAAAGATATTTGGCCAACAAAGCACGTCTAACACAGCAGTCAAGACAATCTTGTAAAGACACTTCTGTGTAAGTCGAATCTCTTCCAGGATGTCATTTCACAGGTCGATTTCATTGGCTAGATGAACCTCGGCCCAAATGGTTGCACTATAGTGGCGGCATCCCCCACAGCGCACCCCTGAAATCACCCGTATAAATTGATCTCTACACCCGTTATGTAACCGTTGTCTGAGTTTCTTCTGCTACGTAGTCGAAAGCTGTTATCCATGTAGAAAACACTATTAAGCCCGGACCACTACTGTCATTGCTGGCAGTACTATAATCATCTGGCTCTACAGACTAGCGATACAATGTCTCTTGTGGTAACTTCGGCTAAGTACAGATGTGATACAAACAACAACAGAAGTGAAACGTTGCTACATCTCACCTGTTTCCACGTGACCAATGTCAATGAAGTGATCCTCACTGGCAGCTGCGAGCAACTTTGCGTCGTGAGAGAAACCCAGAGTTCGAACGGGCCATTCCAGCCTACCGGGAGCGAATAGTCAGGATATTTCAAGGTCACAACAGGGCCAAAAGTGCTGTGATAGTTGATAAGAATGACAGTAATGATGTCCTGCTACTGAAAATTTGTTAGCTGTCACGATGTTCGATATACGAGGTCCCCGACCATTGCAGCTAACTGCAATGAGGGACAGACAGAGGTGTGGGCCTCTAAGAATAAAGATGGGGAGGAAGGGATCCTAGAAGCCCGTCAAAGTTTTTGAGCCCCACCTTTGTTCGCTCACACGGTCATACTCGTAAGGGGGGTGAACAACTAAACTCTCCTGAGACTCATCAAGTAGACCCGAATTTCCATCGATTTTACGCTGCGGTGGAGCAATCGTTTGTATGTAGATTGGATTCTACGCTGATTGGGAAATTAAACTTGAAACGCAGAGGCTATACCCATCGGATGAGCCAGACCAAGAGCGAAACCGGCAGTGGGCTGGCTGTTTTCACTAACCTTGAACGTAGGGTTGTGTTAAGAAATGAAACATCTGGCGGCCTTTGCGCATCACATCAGCTGGATTACAGCTAGGTCATAAACGAAAGTTGAAAACGAGTACTAACCGCCGGGAAAACACCGGTATATCCAGCAAACCTCATGCTAAATCTGTGGCAATTTCGTCCAGCTGCACAGAGCGACAGGACCCAGAAGCCTTTAGTATGTTAATTTGACAAGCGGTAAAATTTTTCCTGGTTAAAAACTATCCTGCTTAAGAGGCTAGATTGCTTGACCGCCTCACTGACAGCAAATACAGCTGGCCAATCAAATACATCAAGATGGACGGTTTCTGAATTCAAATCTTGACACGGACCTTGGGATGGAAGTATACAACACAACGGTTATTGCCTAAGGTGTAGGTAGTCTTGTGGTTAAACTTACCGCGACAGGGTTCGAATGCAGACGAACTCGTCTGCATCCCAAATAGAAACAAGAGCGTCGGCACTACCCACAGCAAAATATCGACCGGAATTAGTGAACTGTAGACACATTGCATTGACCGGATGTGCTTGAAGGCTCGTTTCCCGTCGCATATCTCCGGGTTTCCCACTGGGAGAAAAGAACGATGAATTGCAGTCAAACAGAACACCGACAGCTCAGGTTGCCCAACTCAGCGAACAAATCAACGGTAAAAAAGATATGGGAAAGATTATTTTTCCATAAAGGAAACTACTCACAAGGTTGCTGAAAACTCTCCGACAGCCCATGACCGGTTTCGCCCTTCTTGGGGCTCATCAGTTAGGCGCAGTCCCCGAGTTTCGGTCAACCTTATGTTCTACTTGAACCCAAATTGGACTGTTTTCGAGAAATACACTCAGTTGCAAATTAATTTGGTTTCCAGGAGACTCAACGGAATCTCTCGTTTATGATATTCTACAACTGAAAGTGCTGCACACAGGCCGCCTCACGTTTCAGTTGGCACGATATTCGAGATATCGCAGTGTATTCTCATAAAGGAAACTATTCACAAGGTTCCTGAAAACTCTTCGACAACCCACGACCGGTTTCGCCCTTCTTAGGACGAGAGATTCAGTGGAGTCTCTCGTGGAAACCAAATTGATTTGCAAATGGGAAAGATTAGTTTTTGAATAGTAGAAAACGATTCAAATATGCAAAATAGAACTGACATTTCCTACTTGCATAAAAGTGTAGCGGAACAGGCAAACGTCAGACCACTGGGACTTTAGGGGGCTTCAAGCTAGCGCTCTCCAATTGCATCGACAATTCGAAAGCGAATGAACAAGAGATTACGGTTTTACAATCCAAAAAAAGACGTTGAAGATTTGTCACAGTGGTCGAAAGTCGCTAATGCTAACAATTTTGGGCTATTCCAAATGCGCCTTAGAACGGTCTTCAGCACTGGAAGATATGTTGCTTCTATCAGGATGCTTTAAGCATGAGAGCATGGTGAACAGCCACGGACGAACGTCATCCACATCAACTGAAGTCTGCAGAGTTTGAAAAAAATCGTTCGGCTGTAGTACCCTTTCGGTGCCTAACTGCCATGTCACCAGAAGGAAGCACGAGGGCTGGGATACTGCCAGGTTGCCCAAGTCTAGACAGGGGAAGTCGAGAGGCAGAGGTCGGGTTCGAACCACGGACCTTTCAGTCAGCAATTTCGCGCTCTAGCCACTTGGACCACCTCGTCCCCCGCAAAGAGTTTGACTTCCAATTGTCTGACAGTGAAGCTTCTCCCAGACAGCATGCTAACCGAGGATGAGTATGCGCGGATGAGTCTGTTCTTCACACCCTCTTTTGCTCCCCAAATTCCTTGGGAAAGCCAGGCCTTTGAGGCACGTGGTTGGCACCTTCAAAATACAGGGTAACTCCTTCACCCATCTGTTAAACGTGATCTCCAACCTTAAAAGCTGCACATCCCTGGATCAAATGTGTTACAGAAAATATCAGATTGAAAACCAGAGGCGGTTTTATGATGCCCGTACACTCCAGAAGAGTAACCTTTCTCATGTAAATGCATACAAATATTGGGGTTTTGACGGTCGCAATCCAGCCAACAGGTCTGCACGTGGTTCTTCACCAAGGGAATTCATGCCAAACTGAATGTGAACAACAAATGGCGATCCGTACGACGGGTAAGTGAGAAACGATGTGACTATCAAAGGGGAAGTCACTGGGGGAACCAGAGCAATTACCTGTACACCAAAATGCTCCCCAGTCCAGTGGTGAGAAGGAAAATGTCCGTATTCGGTTTCCAAGCGAACTCGTTGATTTCAAAGTTGAACTGTTCTGATTGGATTGGCTTCAGCCCTGCACGAACATCGAGCCAAGATATCTGTAAAGCAAAGCAGATTGGGACAACAATGTGCTTCCAAGACGGGGAAGAGCAAACGCTTTTTCGACAAATTAGACCACATCTGTGTTTACCGGCACTCTCAGCAATATTGATAGGCCCATAGTCAGCGGCGATAGCCTAATTTGCGCGAGCGAAAAGTGATTAAAGCCTAACCAGGTTGCTTAAAGTAGGAAACCTATCGCGAAGGATGCATAATCGAATCAATTTTTAGTGGTTACCAGTAGAGACACTCATCAGTAGAAAAAAATTGGCGTTGAAAGGAGATGCATTCAGATCTCTTGTTAGAGCCAGTTTGCAGTCAAATACGCCATACAGAACCCCCTTCCCCTAATTTTTCCACTTGAAGGATATTCAAGATGGCAAGGTGTTTTTGGCTTAACACTACTCATAAGGATACTGAAAACACCTGGACAACCCGCTGAAGGTTTCCCATTTCTTGGACCTTGTCTGGCAGGTAGTTTTAACCTTATTCTCAACCTTACGAGTACCGTTTTGTCAATAAACATGATTCAATGCCATGAATATCGTTCCGAATGAAACGCTGTACTGTGCATTCAGTTGGAGATTACTGCAAGCAAAGCCTAGAAGGATATTCCGTTGTGTCCTCTTAACTTTAACCTTCAAACAAGTGAATAACTTCACTTGCATACAATCCGGTGTGCAGGTAAATGAGATTGACGGAAGCTCGGTGACTACCTGGTGAGCACCAACCGGTTCGAAATGGACTATGCTTCATCAACCATACAGATAATGTTATAGCAAAGGGACCGTGTCTGTCAGCTTCCCATAGGCCGAAATGAAAGTCATATATATCAATATCATTCCGCTGTGGCACCCTTTCGGCGCCTAACTGCCGTGCCACCCGAAGGAAGCACGAGGGCTGGGATACTGCCAGGTTGCCCAAGCCCAGACAGGGGAAGTCGAGAGACAGAGGTCGGGTTCGAACCACGGACCATCCGATCAGTAAATTAGCGCTCTAACCATTTGGGCTATCTCGCCCCAAAAGAAATCCAGGAAACTGGACAGTCCACATTTTCATTTGCCAAGGAGGAGACCACGTCCAACTCTAAACACATACTGCTCACCATGATATGAATACGTTGCCAAACAGCCGGTGTGCATTCGAAACTAGGCTCTGCGTCCGACGATCTGTATCGATCTTGTCCAGGCACACCGTACGTACTCATAATTTGAGCCGATAGGATGTATAAACCCAAGGTCCCTGAGCACACACGATCTCCCACCGCCGTCGTTTATAGGAATCACTGATGGGTGTTGCAGTACGGATGGCTTCGTCGCTGGAAATTCACCGTCTTTGCTAATTACAACCGCAACCTTTCCGCAACTAAAAATGATGAGGTCAGCGAGCGAACTGCGTGTGGGGAAGCGTAGCAAATAGAGTTTTGGTAAGGTTGATTTGGAAAGAACTAGTTTCCCGGAACATGGCCCAAGTGATCAGAACAGGTATTGGAAGCGACTGCCCTAGCCATAAGCCTCACACTTAGCATAACGCTGCTACCAGTCTCCCTGATATTGCGACAGCTAACACCAGTTGGTGGCATGCGAGTTCGACAGGATCAAGTGGAATTCCGAGCGGACATGAAAGAGTGCATTGACCACATCGTTATATTACGTCAGATTGCAAGCATCGCACATAACTCCAAACAAGGTTCACAGTTTTATTAATTTAAAAGGGAATCTTGAACTTGTCGACGGATTAGCACCTTCTCTGAATACGCTAGAGTTTACAATGAACAGCCCAAAAAATATTTTCACACAACCAAGTGGATTCGCCAAAGCTTCCCCCTATCACTCCCTTGTTAATGACTAGGATTAATAAAACCAGAAATATGGGAATCGAAATGGCATCCAGAAAAAGTTCAGCGTCTTCGATTATGCGGATGATATCACGCGACTAAGTGAGCGAGCACTTGGCATTCAAAAATGGCATCGGTTCAGTTTAGCTCCAGTTTCACTACAAATTCTGTCCCGATGGCTCGTTAGCTCCGATCTTTATACTTTATCCCATTAAGGATATGGATGGGAGACAGTTACGCATTGGAGGTAACGATCTAACCAGTTTAGTTCCGTCAAACCAATCCACTTGACTCGTGAAAACAGGGATCAGAAGGCGACGCATCCGAAGCGAGATAACAGGGCTATGTGGAAGGCATGAGAGGGTCACGCCTCAACCGGGGAGGCAGTAGTTTCAAACGCTATTAATTTTGATGTTCACAATAAAAACAGCCCTGTAAAGCGTACCATGTTCTGAAAGTGAAGCAGGTGGCCTAACCACAGTGACCATGACGGTATAAGAACGTTGAGGAGCAAGAGGAAAAGAATGACAAAGCACTATGACTGATACCACTATATGCGAAAATCACCGTGACATCCTTCCTTAGGAAAAATCGACTTCTTACCAGATCGGTTTTGTTACCAACAGCTATACATCGTGCATCTGAAGACCAAGCCAAATTGATATTTTCCCCTTTCAGTTGAGCCGTGATCGGGTCCTTCTTAGAGCGGCAATCCCACAGGCGAACAGCCCCGTCAGCACCAACAGTTGCCAAAAGCTCAGGATCCGAAGGGTGCCAACACAGCTGATCAACACTTTCGTTGTGGCCTCGAAAAGTGTGAACTTTCACCTGTTTAGGATAGCAAGACAATGATATCAGGGGCGAGTGAAAATGGTGATCATACGAGTTTGGACGAATCGATTGCGTATAGGTTGACCAATTTATCCGAAGAGCCGGAAGCCAATCTTGAACCACTGACATTCCAAGCAAGCGTGTGAATCTTCCCACCATACCCAGAAAACTCCTTTACTCGTGAGTTACGGAGGAAGTAACTGCGAACTCGAGTCAGGTCATCTGAACCCATTGTGTGGCGGGTAAGATGATCAGCAGAAGGAAAGATCTAAGCGCGATTAGCTGAAGTAAAGTTTACCATACCAACTGGACAGGATTGATAGGTCACTGTGGGGCTGAAACAGTAAAACATTGGAGTCGTGGCATCAGACATCTGTTGAAATAAAAGAAAGTTCTCGTACAACGAAACCTGAGAGGCAGTCCTCAACGGAGAGGATGTCTGCCAGGAAACTCGAGAGTTCAGTCTATGCCTAAAATATAACAATATGGTGATAAAAGTAAGGCTATGGATGAGCAAATGTTTGAAGACAGGACTGCACATGCGTGCTATTGCGCTGGTGTACGTTCCGCTGGTTTTCAGCTGAGCCGGCGAATTTACAGTGTCAGAGAAAAGACTAGCAAGCTGCGGGAACTGTTAGGTCACGACTCCTAGACAGTTCCTCCTAATAACTGCAAAGACGATAAGTCGCTGGAACCAGTGAGTTGCCAAAACACGTCTCAACCAGCAGTTTGTTTTCATCCATGATGTACTTTAGTTTAGCAGTGTTAACAGAATACCTATCGTGACGTTCCTGGTTTACTTTACTGAGTCTTGCTGTAACTTCACGGTCTGTGCGCCTTTTTGACGCCTGAGTTCTAGGAATGACACCCGGAGTTTCGCACAGAGAGCTTATCATTGACAACATAGGCTATTCCCTGCGTGAGGATACACCGGCCAACTGGATGTCTTGAATCGCAGCTATTTAAGCTTGGATGACGGTGGCAACGTTCTCGCATAAGTTGACCCGTGTAGTTACAGTTCTGTTGGCTAGGCGGCCTACAGACTAAAACGTTTGTCAGACTCAGGTGTCCACCCGGGATATCAGCACCATCGCGAACACAGTGGACTTTGTAACGGTGTGCCCACAACCCACTGAGAAAACTGAGGAATGTATATGAGATACACAGAGCCTCTCATACCAGGTTGGTCAAAGGCTAGAGGTTTGACTAACACTGTTTCCAGGTTTGGGGCTAGAACACGTATGACAACTCGTTCTATAAAAATGGAAGTGCACCTGCATTGCTCCCCAAAAAACCGCTGCCTTGCGGTCAGGCCCTTGAGGCAAAGGCTTTGATGGAGGACCCTGGTAGTTCTTCTTTATACGTCTGGGAGCCGTGGAAGCATCCCGGTCCATGTGCAACCGTGATACTTACAATTAGCAATACTCTCGCCGCACCGGCCGCCGCATGATACCACCGACCGACTCGCCTTACTTACTGCATACAGTAGGGCGGGTAAGAGAAGACATACTACTGTTGGTGTCTCCCTAATAACACATCTTCACTAATTCCCTCCTCTGCCCTACCTCCAAACCAATTTGAATACTCTCTCCGAAAGTCCCAGCACTAGGACTGACCGCTTTTCTCGCATCACACCCAGCTATAACTTCTGCACTTCCTACTTTAGTAAGAACCTCGAACACTTCGCAGTTTTTTTTCAACAAAACCGGTCTAACTAGCTGTCCTTAATGTTCCACCCCCCTGAAACAAGCAGAACAAGCTGACCTCAACAGAAAGGTGGGATGTGAACATGAAACGCCCTTCAACCTCAGAAATTCCTGAGCGCATATCCCCACTTAAGCGTTATCGTGCTCCTGGTCCTGACGACCTTCCGCCTGCTCTGTTCAAGGATAGCGGTGAATTCCTCAGCCGGTGCCTAGTCTGTTTGCGTCTGTCTGGCAGAAAGAAACTGTCCCAGACCACTGGGGTGAGTCGACAGTAGCACCCATTTTAAAAAAAAATGATACTCATAGTCAATGCAGTAACCACGGGGGCGTCAGTCTAAATCCCACTTCTGACATCACTGGTTCTTTGTCTTACGGTGGCACGCGAATCCTCGACCTGTGATCATCAAGCGGGATATCGACCAGGTAGAGGCAGCGTCGACCATATCTTCACAATCCATTACGTGCTGGAGCAACACCACATGCATACAAAGCCTACAACCTTGTACAACTTGACCACAAGGGTGCATTCGATTCTGCCGATCGGTCAGTGTTGTTAATCACAGTTGTTCGACAGGATAAGCCCCAGAAGTTTGTGAACATAATTCGGTCCCCATACTCACACACTTCTGGACGTGGGGGTACATGGAGAGCTTTCTGCAAGCTTCTCTATAAAAATGGGTCAGAACGAGAGATGGTTCATTCCGGACGGGAGACTAGGGAATCAGGTGTGCCAGAAAAGAGCCACTTTTCTGTTATGAATATTCGGAAATCCACAGCGGAGACAGCTTGGGTGCAATGCAACCTATGCAGTGAAGGAACAGGTTTTGGTTAAGAAGATATTACTATTACCATTACTACTATTACCATTATTATTCGAGCAGCGGACCTGAGACGTCTTCAGCTGTTCGACAATCGTTGTCTCAGAACCATAGCTCGCGTGGGTTGGTGTCGGCGAATCCGTAACGAGGCAGTTAGAAAGCGTGTTTTCGGTTGTGTAACGGGTACTTCCATTGA